TTCTTGTCTCCCTTCCTCCCTCTCTCCCTTCTTTTTCGCAATTCCTCTCTTCCTCTACCTCCTCATTCATCTTTTTTCTCCTTCTCCTTCTGTCTCTGCCTCTCTCCCCATAGAATATTATCATTGTCTTCTGAGTCTGTTTCATCAGGTTACAAATAATTCCTGGAATGTTAAACCCAGGTTTTATTCAAATTGAGCCCTTGTTATTTGATTACTTTAAGGAGAAAGTGTTGATTTGGAGAAAGTGATAATGACATTGTGATTGTTTTTAAATGTATTCTTATATATTTGAGAACATTTTAGCAAATTTATACGTGATTGTGATTCAAAGTAACATGGAATCTCTTGGAGGGTGTGTTGTGTGTGGAGGGTCTGATGAGGTTGGTTTATAGTTGTTTGGGCAGATGATGAGCAGATGCGGATGCATTGAAAGCGTTTTCCAAACTACTGTCTGTAGATTATGTTTGCGTGTATGTCAAGAGTCCTCCATACCATACATCTTTGTAATTTTACTCATCCTGGTCTAGTCCCTGATGCACCTTAAGCACTTAGTATCTTATTATGCCTCAGTGAATCAAAGAGATGTGTAATCTCTGATTTTGTATCTGTGAAGTTCAAAAGTTGGAAGTGCTGAAATTGGAGATAACTGGCATTGAGGAACTCATAACCAACAATACAAGGTCACTCTAATCAAGAAGTGTAAAGTTAGGGGCCAAGAGAAGTCTTGGTCCCATGCCACCTGACCCCCCAGACACTATCCTAAAAACTTTCTCTATTTTGCTCTTCAGTACAACAGGAAAACAGTAACTCTTTCCAGAATGCAAACTGTGAGGTTAGATCCAAATTTTCAGAAGACCAAGGTCAAGACATATTTCAGTATTAATATCTCAGGTATTGGGGGCAGGTTACTTGGCTTTGAAAGAGTCACCAACTGTGGAGAGTATGAGAAGCTGGCTCAGAACACTCCAGAGACAAGACTCAGAGGATCTAAGCTCTCTCCATCCTCAGTGAGGCTGCTTAAACCATCTGGGTGTGTGTGTGAGGGGGTGGTTTCTCAGGACTTAACTTGTATTTAACAATTGTTCTCGAGGAACCAGGAAGCAATGTTTAATCAAGTGAAAGACAGAAGTGCTTCCTAAAGCTGGTAGAAAATTCAAGGAGCTAAAGTGAACAGGACAAAAACCCTAAAACGATTAAAAAGGTAAGCACTTAAAATAAGAGAGTGGTCAAGTGGCAGAAAGGTACATTGATTACTGTTAAATAAAATAAAAAACAATTCAACATCAAATGAAATATAATAGTATTTCAGTCCTTAAATCTACACATTTATATAAAAATGTCCATACTGACATTAATAATAGATAGGGCTTATCTTGATGTTCTAGGGCTTTAAATGGCTATAGTCATTTATTTTTTCTGATGCTTGTTTTGTAAAGATCAAATAATTACAACTTTGTAAAAGACTTCTTAAAATTTTCTTAAAAGAAGAAAAGTTTAATATCACATGTATGTCATCTGCACTAAGAGACATCAGAATATGTGTGAAACAGCCTCTTAAGGGTGGATTTCCTTTCTCAGGAGCCCTGTACCCTTCTGGGTAGAACTTTTCAGGTTCTGGCCAGTATGTGGAGTTTTGATGAAGACTATAGGTTGGTATAGCCACAATTGTGCCTTTAGGAATGAACACCCCATTGACTTCAACATCTTTTTTACAGACTCTCACAATTCTCTCAACAATTGGATATGATCTGAGAGTTTCATTCTCCACCATGTCCAGATACTTTATCTCAAATAGTACATCATATGTCACAGGTGCTTGGCAAGAAATAAATTTTTGCAAATTAAGATTTGGAAATGACTTAAAGCTCTGTTGACTCAGTACACTGATGTTTTCAGAGCTCCTCAAATAACTCATATTGGTAAAATATCATAGCATTTACAAAGCATTTAATAACCATCATGATTTTAGAACAGCCCAATGGCACACTAAGATGCCCAGAGATTTGACCTCTCCAATCCCCTCCATGTGCCATTCACTCACCTTATTGAGCAAAGTCTCATCACTCTCCTGCTGAAGCTTCTTCTGGACATCAGGTTGGGTGGCCAGTAGATACATAGTAAATGAAAAAGTGGTGCTAGTGGTGTCAGAGCCAGCCAAAAAAAAAAGATAACAGACTGGGCTGCAATCTCCAGATCAGATAGACCTAAAAGGAGAGGAAAGAAAATTTAGTCTAAGTAGTTCCATGCACAATTTACCATTTACATGAACATAAATCAAAATGATGACCAAAATCCCATGAGATAAAACTGGAAGAGAAATTCATGATGTTCCTCATTTTGCCACCCCTCCCACCAACACAACTGGGTGATTTCAAGGGACAGTATGGATGTCAAACGAACACAGTGTTTTTCAAATGTGCCTTGAATAATCAAGAAAGTTATGTAGCTATAAATAGTGGGTAACACTAGAATGTATGTTGAAGAACTTTGAAAGCATTTGTAATACTGGAATCTTTGCAGGGGAAATAAAGACCGTGATTGACAGAACTATACTGAGCCACAGAGAAATTTTTCTACAAAAACTGTGGCCCATGGTCCAGCAGCATCAACAGCTTCAAGAAGCTTATTAAAAACACAGAAGCTCAAGCATTGCTCTAGAGCTACCAAATTGAAATCTGAACTTTCATGAGATGTGGTCAACTCTGTTCACAAAGTAGCCTAAGAATTATCAGGTAATAAAAGACCTGGGGCACCAGTCTTCAAAATTGATAATCTCAGGCTTGGCAGAAACTATACAGAGAAAAAACACCCTGAAGAGTAGTGATTAATTGGATTCTAATGAGTGGTATTAAAATCACACAAGAAAGAATGTGTTGATACAGGGCATTAGGCAGAAATGCACTTGGTATCTTATCATAGGAAGATTGGGTTCAGTGAGTGGAATTAGCATTGCTTATAAATCTTGGGCTGAATTTCATCTTCCCTAGTACATGTCCCTTCTATTTGTTCAACTTCATAAACATCAAACAGCCTTTGTGATAGAAAGTTTTGTTTCTCTTAACTTATCTCCTGAAAATCACATTCAAGCATTCATCTCATTGATTGGAGAAATGA